TGTATGTGTGCGTGCACGTGTCTGTGTATGTGTGTATGTATGTGTGTACGTGTCTGTGTATGTGTATGTATGTGTGTATGTGTCTGTGTATGTGTGTATGTATGTGTGTATGTGTCTGTGTATGTGTATGTATGTGTGTATGTGTCTGTGTATGTATATGTGTACGTGTCTGTGTATGTGTGTATGTATGTGTGTATGTGTCTGTGTATGTGTGTATGTATGTGTATATGAGTAGGTTTAAGTGTGTATGTATGCATGGATGTGTGTATGCGAAAAATGATCGTATATCGCGTAATGAGTAATCCGATCGCCATCTAGCATGTTGAATAATTGAATCCTATTCTCAATATCATATTCACAAAGCGTATTTAATGATCATATAAAAATTATGTCATATTTATTTACTGCTGCGGAAAATATCGAGAAAAGGCGGATAATTTTCAGTTCTATGTGCATTGCGTTTGTACATTTGCTTCATTAGCAAGTGTTTCTCCAGATCAGTTAAATTTTTTCATTAGTTCAGTTCGTTCAGTGAATTGTTTACTTCAATTAATCATTCTGTGGTAATTGTCAAGTTGTTAGGTGGGCAACAGATAGAGCATGGACTCGAGGCTGCTTACAACAAATGTTACCAGTTCTTAACTGATTAGTTATTAAGAGGTAATATGTGTGTTCAAATCGTTCTGTTCTTCCCACAATAATATCGCTGTTCTCTTTCAAGAAGGCTTTGTATCGTTTATGGAATATTAATTTGGTTTGTTTAAATATCAGATCAGCGAACTTCTTTTTGTTTTTCGTCATCCTGAAATTAATGTAATGCATGGCTGTTGTTTTGTTTGGTATCACTATTATCGTTGTTGCTGATTGTATTGAACAACTGCGGTGTGTTTCGTTCAGTTCAAATTTTAATGTGAATTATCCATGTTCGAGACTTGTTTGGCGTTGATTCTGTGAGTAGAAACGTCCCAACAAATTAAGTGGTATTTATCAATGACGAAAATTTTTAAAAACTAAACGGTCGCATTCAAATAGCTATATCCGTAGGTTAGCCATATCAGTATAATTTGCTGCATTCAGTTGTTTGTTCAAATTCCTGGTTCAGTTCAATTGCTGCTATGGTAAGATGCATTCACTGAAAATACTTGCTCTTAACAGAATGATTGTGATATTCGAAACCTACTCATTATTAATGAATTATGTTTGAGGATTTTTACGGATAATATGCAAGAACGCTTTGTTTGGGTGTTATTTCTGTATATTTCAATTCACAGATGGATTGTTGTTGTTGAATGTTGATATCGTTAGTATACTGAATAATCTTTATCTGATCCACCCTAATTCCCGGTTATCCCTCGATTTGTTCTTCATCCAGCTATCCATCCTTCTGATGTGTTCGCAGTAATCACGTCGTATTCATTCATGCTTTCTTCTTTTTGTGTCAGTCCTCTAGCTCATTGACCGCAGTTTATTAAAAGGGATGTTTTTATGATGATGGTGATAATGATTTGATTATATATGTCGATATATGTTTTAAGGTCAAAAGGAATCAGAAGTAGCAAAGTGATAAAGGAAGAAAGAAGGTGAAACGAACGAAAAGAAAGGAGGAAAGTTCTGATGAAATGAACAAATATTTTGCGGCGAAATTGAAATTCTTCCTCGAGGAGTTTGAATGAAAATTTGATCATGAAAGAAAAATGGATTGATGATTGGATTTGTTGAGGAAAGATTTGAATGAATGGATTATACGTCAATATTGTTGGCTTGTAGTAACAGCTCGATCTATGCGGATAGCAATATCAATAGCGATATGGCTAAATCTGCTGCAGTTGATGAAGTTAAGGCTGTTATTAGTGGCGGTGATAATTGTCATCTGTTAAATCTGTCCGCATCTCAACCACTCTGGTTAGCAAGACCCATCTATGGGCTTGCTGCACCAATTATCGTCCTCGTTACACTCATCACCAATTCACTTGTTGTCATTGTTCTTTCGCACCGAAATCTGCGTACTCCAACAAACCATATTCTACTCGCAATGGCAATCACCGAACTTATGACAGGTTTGTACAATCGATCTCTGGATGCCTACGCAATCAATGTCATGTTACCACTCAACGTCAGAAGCTAAATCCAAGCCTCAGAATGAGCCTTGAACAGAATTCAGTTAGAGTACCATGAAATATCAAACGAAGACTAAACTTGAGCTTGAGAAAGTGAAGTCGTTTGTTAGTAAATCAGTGAAGAAACAACTAATACTCAATGAAGTTCAGGTTTGTCGTCGTGTCCATGGTTTATCTATTATTATACGTTGGGTGGTTTTTCAACCGATCAGCGTGAAGGTCTCACTCCTTTCTGGTGTCGTTTTCATTCCTATTTTGCCGTTCATTTCCCGACAATGTTTGTTTCTTTATTTGTCTACTGTTTACTTTTTTTACTCAATCTCATTTATCGAATAATTTTCAGTTTTCATCCATTAGCCATTTCGCCTTTTTTCACTGAATGAGTTGATGTTGTTGTTTTCTTGTAGACACTCTTTTGATGCATTCGTTCAATCGTTAATAATTTCCTGTTTATGCTACTAATACTCATAGTTCAATTAATCTTCAATGTTGCCTGTTATTCATCTATCAATTTACTTTATTTTCTGATGAATGAATGAATGCATGAATGAACTGAAGCATCGAAAAGGCAAAAAAGAAAGCAAGCATAAACATAAATGTGAACAGATGGATAAAACTGAACTCATCATCATTCATTTGTTCGCAACAGACGTATAAAATTAATCACACTTTACGTCCCATTAAGGAAGATATGAGTGGAGTAATGCACAGAATCATTGAGTGAATTAAATTAATCCATGAAAGGGATATTTTAAACTGAAAATTGCTTTCACTAATAGTGTTGTTATCATCATGATGATCAAAAAGATTAAGTAAAAAAGAAAGTGCCATTAAATGTAATTCAAATTCGAGAATTTGTTGTGACTATTACTAATTTTGCTACTTGTGCAACAACCCAATATTTAGCATCTAAAGTTGCTTAGGTGGCCGACTGATTTTTGGGAACATCGATCCAAACCGAACGACGCTCGAAATTTGCCCTGTCTGTAGCCACCAGAAAAAAATGTCAGTTGCGAACTGTGTTGATGTCATATGCAAAGCAGTAGAAAATGTATAAGTTAAGAATTGTTGTTAAGAAGTCAAAATTTTCTAGTAACTCATATAATTAGCTGCTGGCTTTTTTCAGTTTCACTTGCATAATAATAGTAAATGAAATAAAATACATAAACAGTGCATAAATATATAGACATATATAAATCTCCCTCCCCAGAAATCAACAAATAATGTAGGAGAGTAGTCGTAAACCTCCACTCTCTCCAAATCAAGTATCGAAATTAGAATTTCGTGAAGATGGAGGATTCCTTGTTGTGTCAATTGTTAACTGTGTGGGGGAAGGATGAACTTGATATTGGGATAGGGGGTTGTAAGCTTGTAATGAGTTGTAATCGCTGATTAAACAAGCATGATAACACAGTGAATATTGAAGATTCCATACAAGCGCAATTTGGTTGACAGTCTTTTTGGCGATACAACGTTACGTCTATGTATGTGTGCCTTCAATGGTAAGTCGTTATTGCAATCCATCGCGAACACGTCAAATGATTGTTTTGATCGGTATCGCTGCACTGCTCAACGAGACGCCGCTGATGCTCTTCGAAACATCCATTTCAGTGCAGTTGGACGATACGAGTAAACGCTTTTGCATACGTCTTTATACGTCTTTCGTTGAAAAGGTTGTTTATTTTTGTTCGATTTTTCACTCGAATACGCGTTGTTGATACCCCGTGATTTCGTTTATAATTCAGATTCCATTAAGGAATGTTTGCCATCGATCCGAATAGGTTTCCTATGATATGACGAAAGTTGGGTTGATACAGTACTGAAAAGATGTATAACCGAAGCTTGTTCATGTGAAAGTTGAAGGCCAACGAACGAAAATCGTTTCAGACAATCGGCGCAAACGCCTTCTATTCAGTGATTCATTGCTATCGAGCCGTCTTCGTGCACATCTTGCCATGTGCCCTATTGATCTTATTTACTGGCAAACTGTTCCGCACGATCAACAAGGCGGATCGTAAGCGCAGTTATCAGTCATTCCCATCCAGAAAATCGGCATGTTGCTTGTTTATTCTCTTTTCTGTTTCACTTCGTTCCGTTCCGAATGAATAGATGGATGTACGTAAATGTTTGATGATTCACCTTCTTGCTGTGAATAAACGGTAAATGAAAAGATGAACTTAAGTTAAATACAGCAATGAATTAATAGGTAATGCGCACATAAGTATGTTTAGTGAGCGGTGGTAATGATGATAACAATAATAGTGAAAGTCTTTATTTTCAAGCGTCTTTTTTGCAGCAGATGCCAGTAGGGGGTATAGGCCGGAATGAAGCGTCTCGTTGCTGTAACTCGCCAAATACAGATCACACGACGTCGATGCTGGCGAATAGTGCATCATTCCCTTCATCATCCCGTCTAATGCAATCCACCACAAAAATGCTTGTCGTAGTAATTGCCATTTTTCTTCTAATCGAAATACCTGTCGCATTAATCTTCTTACTGCATTTCGTTGTGGTTGTCTACGGACTCATGCCTCGTTCCATGTATCAGCCAATCAACAATCTTATCATTATTAGGTAAATTATACAATCAGCTGTCAATTTCATTGGTCTTATTAGTGTTATCATTAGTATTAGTTCTTGCAGGTATTGTTTTCATTTTTGTTGTACTGATTTTAATTGTTCTCGTAGTTGTTTCGTGTACTTATTGTTGTTGATATTGATTTGATTAATTTTTAGGAATTTCATGATAATACTTACATATCCGTTCAATTTTGCAATTTATTTTGGAATGAGTTCATCGTTTCAATTGCAATTTCGACAACTTTTTACACGTAAAATCCTTTATGTGGCCGCACCCCAATCGCAACTAGCTGCAGGAACGACATCGGTCAATCACCAACCTAGATTTAGTATACCGTTGATTGATATTCGTAAATTTCGACGGCCATCTGCAGTCGTTAGTTGTTTATTATGTTTGTTTGTTTCTTATTATATGTTCGTTTATCTTTTCATTCATGCATCAGCAATGCCTCATATACAGATGATCAATTTGGATATGTCCCACTCCCGTTCCAACTACTAATCAAGTGAATCTTAAAATCGCGAGGCAACTTTTTCACACCTTCAACATTACTGGAGCAAATTTTCATGAATACCTCATTGATTCGTTAGCGCTTTGCTTATGGTGGCCGCCTCCGTTGGCACATCATGTTGAACCGTTAATGTCAGATGTTTGTTTTCACAGTTAGCAGATTGGCGTAATAAACAACAACATCGTATGCTTCCTTGCTGCGAACAGTCATCGTCTGCAACAGTAATGCCACAGTCGTTTATAAATAGTCATAATAATGATCCAAATGATGCATAAAAGATGTCATTCGAATGAAGTGATGTCACGACTAATCTACGCCACCTGACCTCGTCTCACCTCGCTACAGTTGTTCATAACGTTTGTCACCTATAATTCGACATCATGCTTACGGCCTATAATTGGACCAATGAACGTTTCGGATATCACAGCAATTCGTCACTTATCAGTGAAAAGAAGGTGATTTTGGAGGGAGGAACAATTATTCGCTAAGAATTGATTGTACTAAAACATATTCAGTCGTTACTGTTTGAAATGTTGCGTCGAAGGATATTATTAATAATATAATTGTTATTATTTAATATTATTAATCATCTGTTATTATTAATATTATTATTTTTACTATTATCATTATTTATTATTATTATTATTAATCCTTATTTGAGAGTAATCTCATCTCTTCTAAACTTATCATCAAATAAATGATTAAAAAGAATTTTTTCAAAAATTGATATGTAATTGTAATATTCGATGATAAATCAGAGGCATTCATGTGACTGTTATTGGTGTCGTTGATTAAATACAATAGTAAAGCTGAACGGATATATCAATCACCACAGGAAAGTATGCGAGAAAAGTGGTAGGTTTTCAATGAGAAAATTGAAAAGAGTTCCTGTAGACTGTAATAGGTGTTATCCCACCTCATGGAGTGGTCTTGGACCAGATCGAATCCAGCGTTATACCATTCTGAATCGTTGCAACACTACTAGCTGTAGTTAACTTACTAGCTTTTTGATGGTTTGATTGATGAGGAATGATAGATTTAGTTAGTGGTCAGCATTACTGGTCACCAACGGTTATCTGGGGTCAGCAAATGTCATTTGGTTATGTGGTGGTTAAGATGTCAATCATCCAAAAGAACGAGTGCATGAAGAATGCATGGTAATAATACGTAATGCATGATACTGTCCATTCGTATACATGTGCTTATATCTATCCTTCACTCAATCGCTCACTTCGATTGTTCCATCAATTAACCACTGATGTCACATACGTACAAGTGTAGTAATTAGGGTTTACGTTTCATTGTTCAATGTTTGCTTCGTTCTTGCACCATACATCTTTTACTATACGTATGATCGAATGTTAATGATAAGAAGAATCGCATTATGTATAGATAAATATCATATCATGCATACCATGTGGAGGGCGATTCAAGTAGCAAATTTGTATATTCGGATCAGACAGTAATTACGAGTCAAAGTATGGTAGGATTGTATGCAAATATAGTGATCGAATTAATGGCATACGATTATTTAATGATTTTTGTGTGGTCATTTGGGATTTCAGTTGATACGATAAGCAAATCCCTCGTATGAGCCGATCTAATCGTGAGTGTAATTGATACATTGAGGTGTGATAGCTTGTGGTAGCTGCAGTCGTAGGGCGATTATCATCATCATGGGCTGCAAACCAGTGATTGGAACTGAATTGATATGAATAAATGAATGAATGAAAGGGATTCAAAGGACAGTGATGGATGGAATAAAAAAACATGTAAAAATTATTTGATTGAAGGAAATGAATGGGACAGAAGTATAGAACTGTTGTTGAACGATTGAAATTGGGTAGGAAATGAAGAGGGAAGGGCGGGGGATTTGGGATAGGTGTGGATTGAAGAAATGAATGAAAAAGATTGATAAATGAAAAGACTTGGAGCATGACTGGACGAACGATTCAGCGGGTGGATTTGAGTTGAGGTGACGAATGAAGTAGGAGACGAGCAGCAGAAGAGGAAGGAGGAGGATGAAAGAAAGGGGGGGGGGGCAGATGGTCGCTCTTCGATCTTTGAGTCATTCGATGTTTCGTTTGTTAGTTGGTGACCGGGCTCTGGTCTAGCGACTGGATGAATTGCTGCTGTTTCTGTTCAGCAGCTGCTTAACAGACGGCCTTCTGTGCGTTTGTCCATTTATTTGTTTATTTATTCATTTCATTTGCAATTTTATAAATCATTTCATTTCTCTTTCATCATCGCAAACTGAGGGAGTGCAGTCCATCCTTTCCGATCACATCTATTCTTCGTTAACTGAACAACTCAGCGATCGGCCGGCCGACCGATTGAGTCCATCTTATCCATCCTGTTCATTTATCGCTTCATTCATTTCATTTCATCGATTCATCCATTCTCGCAGCCCATTTCAAATCGATTCTACTCCTAATTCTATGTTACCAGTAACATATCGGATAATAGTACAAGGCTGCTCACTCGTCTAACTTGGTTGCCTAGCCGCGAGCGCAAAAGCAATCTACGTTTTAGTGCCGACGACGAATTACGAATTTTATTATTAAAATATTTGGATGTTGATTGAAACATTGTTGTTGCAATTGCAAATTAATAATAATAATAATAATAATAATAATAATAATAATATCAGTTGCAGTAAAAGGAGGTGATGTCAACAACACAATGTTCTTGGTTCATTCAACCAAAAGATGATCAGCATCAGCACCAACAACAACACATGCTCACTTCAAAAAACAACAACTTAAAAAATAACTTCCATCAAATGATAGCTGAATATTGGACTTGGCAGTCAGATACTAAGGTACGTTTGCAAGCAGTTTCTGCGATTTTATTTTAGTTATCTAATTTTGTTAAAATGTTAAAATGTTTGTTAAAAATATGTAATTTTTGTTATTTATTATCATTATTATTGTTAATATTGATTATTATTAGTTATTATTATTATTATTGATTATTACTGCTATTGTTATTATTATTGTTACTATTAACATCACTGTAATTAAAACTGTGGTTATTAGTTCAGAAATGTATTAAAGTTTGGAAAAATAATCTAACGCGAAGTTTCTCAGCCTGGGTGTTCACATCCCCAAGGGGTGCAAGATGGTATCCCAGGGGGTGCGAGATAAGGCTTTTTTTATATACCAAACTAGTCGAGGGCGAATTTCAACGCATATGTGTGTGTAAAGTAGGCGAGGACGGACTTTAAGGTATATATTTTTGAAAAGGTTAGAACGTACACTAAAGATACACACTTGTCTGCACTGCAGACACTCACTGTAGGGGGTGACAGATACAGAGTGGATGTTGTAAGGGGTGCGAGGATATCTTAACTGTTGTTGTAGGGGGTGCGAGGATATCTTAACTGTTGTTGTAGGGGGTGCGAGGACGTCTTGAAATTTTTTATAGGGTGCGGGGGGAGGGAGGGGAAAAGAAGGTTGAAAATCACTGATCGAACGGAAGCAGTTATTAGAGTATAATATGAAAAGTACTTTGTTGTTCTTTCTGTTCTTCATCTGATAACTATTGTATTGTTGTTATAATGTCATCGTAAAGGTTATATATGTCTCTGTGTGATTTATCGTTTTGACCCTTTGGAACAGCTGTTCAACGAAGATCATGGTAGTGCTAGATAGATGAGCATTTGACCGAATGACCACAATTAATGAATTATTAATCATAATGGCAATAAATTACTCATCACACTAATTGTTACAATGAATTGAATAGAGCTGATTCGAATTGTGAGTAGCAGTTTGATAATAGGGAAAACGGAAGAACAGGTGATGAAAATGGAACGAAGAGTAAAGTAACTCTCCTATTTGTATGGTTGTTCGCTTATGGTAACAGTCAACATGTTATTTGGAACAACCCGATAGTTTTTACAGAATTCATTGAATGCACAACCGCGGAAGTATTTTTTCTGTGAAAGAATTGTGTTTCGATGATAGAAATGCATCGATTATGCACGGCTTGTTTTGAACAACAAAGATTGTGTTTCGTTGTAAAATACGCAAAAATAAATGTATCTTTGAGATGTCAACGAAAGAAGTACTTGTAAATGGCGATAAAGTGATGTTTCATCATGAATTCTCGTATGGTACGTCGGCAGTTCGGGGCACAAAACGGCTCACTTCAAGTACAGTTGCTTATTGGGAGATTCACGTCACTAATTCATACTTGTTTGGTACTTCGATTATGTTCGGTGTCGGAAACGCACACGCCCAGGTACAGTGAGCATTTTCATTATTATTATTATTGCTATTGTTATTATTATTATTGCTATTATTATTATTATTATTATTATCTTTGTATTGATTTTGGTGCTATTAAATAAAATTACAATAATCGACTCTATAAACATATCGATTATATGCAGTTTGACTGCTTTCATAAGAGTATATCGAGTTGTTGTTTTAGTGTTCATGGACGCATCGATTCGACAATATGCTTGGTTGTGACAAAAATTCGTATGGTCTTTCATATTTTGGCGATATTTTTCACAATGGTATAAATATAAATTTTTGCGAGCCATTCACTACAGCCTCAGTAGTAGCACTATTGTTCAATGGTCCCGATGCGACGTTATCGTATTTTGTTGACGGTATCCCGTTAGGAGTTGCTTTTAGTAATATCGATTTATCTACTACTTTATATCCAATGATCTCAAGGTTTGTTGCTTTTCTTTTTAGGCCTTCTTACCTTATAATTATAATGGATTATAATTACTTTCAGCTACTTTCATTTCATTTTGATTGTTTGTTTCCATTTTTTAGCATTGCTTGTTTTTATTTCTTAAAATTGTTTGCACATAGCGTATATTTAGTACACCATATTTGAATGTGTTAGTTATTTAGTTTCATAGTCGGTTATTTTCTGGTAAATTCATGTTTAGAGCTGGCGAATTTTGCTCGATGGCCACCGATAAGGTTGGTCATCGACGAACGTGCGATTGACTTTTTCGGTAGCCGCCTAGCAGGGTCTCTATGGCTCTGTCGGCGGCCACCGAAATTTCATTGGTCACTGATTTTTGTTAACCGATCAGCCTCTTTGATCCAACCGTAATTCACTGAGTAACGATATAACGTCACATTGTCAACTAACAAAAAACTAAATTGAAGTACCACCCAAAAAACGGAATTCATCGTTCGTCAACAACGTTTCCTGCCCACCTCACCACAGTCACTATGCGAAAACGCGTTACGTTCCATCACCAAACTCATCAACAATCCATCAAAACTTCAATCGCTCTATTTACCTTTTAACTTGAATGCTCAGTTGGAGGAGCGTCTTCTAATTCGGAAACAACGTTATCTATGTTTAAAATATCATGAACGATTATTCCGTTTGAAATAATAACAATGAAGATGTTATCAGTACTGTTATTATTATTATTATTATTATTATTATTATCATTATTATCATGTTATTTACTGTGTAAAAATCTCTCTTCTTCCTGTTTATCTTCATGCAGATTATGCAAATTTGTCGTTATCCGACATTGATAAATTTCAAAAAGACTTTCTGTCTCCTTATTTTGATGATCTCTCTCTTACAGTGTGCTATAATAATTAATGCATTGATTAACTCAATATGTGATTATGGTCCGTTTGCTGAAAAAATGTTAATTTAAAATAACTCATAGCAAAATGAATGACTTATTGTTTCAGGTCGTATGAAGATATCGATAGCACTGTTATTCTACTAAATGATTGATTGATCTTTTAATAAGCTGGAATTTATGAGTAAAGATTGAAGAAATCATAAATGAACGCTGAGTATTTTCTAGTCAGTCTCTATCAATTTTTGATATGTGTTGTTGTATTTATGTGGTTCATTGATTTCAGGTTTTATTTGCATATGAATCTCTTCATAATTCAGTTACTTAATTTGAATGCTTTAAATGTTTTTCAATGATTGTAGTACATAATTTTACTTCTTTGACCACTGTTATATTGTTGAATTTTAAAAATTGGTATTGAAGTAAATGAGTAAATAAATTGTATCACTACCAATCAGTGATGAGCGACTTTCCAAATTTACAGCTGCTCAATCATAAGCGAGGTGAGTAGTGATTGAAAATGGTCAAAGACCTTTCATGAGGAGTATTTTGCTCAGGGCTGATAATTGTAGAGATGGATTAAGATCATTGAATTGGAGACCATTGATCTTATGACGTTTGAAATAGTTATTATATTAGTGAAAATGTCATCTGAAAGTTTCTTCTTTTTTTGGTTGTTACTTAGCCGTACCGAAAGTAATTACGCTCAGAAATTATTCCATTCTATCAAACTAGGTGATTTCGTTTCAGAACTGACCGATCACTTTAAATGTTTCATCACGGAATTCATTACCTCTAAATATTATGTCTCAGCTGCACATATGGGGTTAAATTCAAATATCACTGAGCTATAACATCGTAATCATTTATAATTCCTTGGTTTAATTCTTACTGATCGGAAATTTTAGAATTAGTTTTTGACTTCGTTTCTTTGAAATCGTGATGTATCTCAGTTTCTCTCAATTTATCTTAATGCGTTTTTATTTTACAATCTTAAAATTCGTATATATGGTTAGCGGCTCTTTGATTGCCACCTACTTATTTTGCATAGTACTGTCTTACTGGATGTTTTAATCGTTTGAATATTATTTCATCTCTGTGAACTCAATAAATTATAATTTACTGCTTATTAAAAGACGAACTAAAGAGCGTTCAGAAAGAGAAAAAATGCGCTAAACAATGATTCAACTCATTGCGCGAAGCCTAGGTGATGAGGCACTGCATGACAGCCGTAAAATGGTAATCCGCAAAGTTTAGTAGTGAAAAGAAATTTAAATTCTTGTCGTTGTTTGATGAATTAATTATCTAACTACTTATTCAGGATGTACTTGAATTTCGAATTGAGTTGTTAAGGGAGGCCAATGGTCTCAGAGTAAAACTTTCAGCGATGAAAAAATTCGTACGCATCCATTCATACTCGTTCGCTGTATCATGCGCTCGATCCTGCAAACCAACTGACGGATTTCGTCAATGCTTCCTTCACTTACCTCGATGTGCTGAACGATTAGGATTAATTTTAATTGTCTGTGCGGTGAGCTCAAAACTGGTTTAGAAGTATTCTTTTTGCCATCTAATCTGTAACCTTCGTGGCACTTGTAATTTCCGTCTAACCTTCGTGGCACGGCGGAGGGGTACATAAGAGCACGCAAGAAGATATCACTAACTTAGTAGGTACGTCCATCCAATGATGGTGAGGCGGCACTCTTGCTGATATCGGGCGCCACACGCGCGCATGCGCTTAGATTACTGAGCATTACTTCACGCGCACACATATTCTTCAATATAGAGAATACAGCTGATAACTCTTCTTCCTCAACTTGGCCAGATAAATCACAATGTTATCTAAGTAGTATTTTTCATGGTAATGTTGTAGTTCAGGTTGGTAAAATCAAAACAGCATTTCGTTCGTTCACATTTGCAGTTGATAAGCCCAAGCCTAAGCCTAGGCTTAAGCCTATGCATAAGCCTAAGCCTGAGCCTAAGCCTAAGCCTAAGCCTAAGCCTAACTACACCACACACTTAACTGCAAATGCGAACGAACGAAATGCTGTTTTGATTTTACCAACTTGAACTACAACATTACCTTTTCATTTGATTCTCTCAGTATTCGGTTTATTTGATGTCTGTTCACGTATCTTCTACGATTTTTGATATTTTACAAAGTGCATTCGATACAAAATAATTTTCTTAAGTGGATCCGCGCTTCAGGCAGTGAGAATGACGACTCTTGTTCGATCGGGAACTTTTGCAAATAAATTGGTGAGCTCAATGTTTATTTTGATAGTTGAATTTGTGATTAAACAACAAGAATGTGGTGAAAATTATTCCGTTTTCAGTAAACGATTAGGTTAAATAATCACCCGTTAAGGAAGCGCAACTTAAATTTTGTTGTGCAATCTTGCAGATATGCGGTTTCCGGTCGACACCTGTCACACTTGTGTCCGTACAAGCGACAGAATCGAAACCAAGTCTACCGTTCCGCGATGCTGATCGTCTACAAACGATCGATTCGCTTCAAGCCGCACTCACGGTACAATCAATTCGACCCGGACTCTTTCATTCGACTGTTGCTTCGAAAGGAATCAATCGTTAGTGTTTGTCTTATATATCCAGTTTTAATTTAATATGTACGATCGATTCATTGTTAAAATGAAATTCATGTTGTACTGTTGAAATAACTACGTGAGGTTGCGCTTATGAGAACGCCTAAGTGCATAGCTAAACTTTATTGTTGTAGAAGTAGCAGGAACATTCACGATGTTAATTTTGTTCCCCACATCGAATTTCATGTCAGATTCTCACCAGAAAATTTTCAGAGACTTCTTACCGATATGCGCACACAGATGTAAGATTTCCGAATTTTGATGACCTTCGTCCATCGGCAACACTTGATGCCACGACAGAAGCAAGAGAAACCGAAGACGAACGACGCGCAACGCCAGTAGCTGTCTATTACGGAGGTAGTACCATTGATTATCGTTGAGAAAAAAAGCGTTTATTGCTTCATTGATTATTCTCTTGATTTGATTTGATTTGATTTAACTCAGTTTTATTCTATTTGAACAGCAGCTTTGGTTTTAGTATTGATGATATATAAGTGGGAAATCTATCTGCTCTCATCACTAAATACTAATTTCGAATATGGAGCAAGAAAACTTTCATATATCGTTAAATTAGATATGACTTACGTATAATGGTAGATTTTTTATAAAATATTTGAAATTGCTGCTCATTTCAAGTTTTGATGTACTCGAATTGTTTCTGTTTCTTTCAAATTTTATCTGCTTTCAAATGTTAAATTCAATGCTAATATCGTTTCTTCTTCCGCTGGTGCCAGATCAACCAATAAAGTTTGTGTTTATCTGTGTCTTTCAATGCGTCTGTTTTGTGTCATAATTTTTCTCATTAACTTCAAAGCTTATACTATCATCTAAATTTTTATTTTAGACATGTTAGCTTATTTTTCATATCAAAGTTGCTTTTTGTCCAGTAGTGAAGGGATGGAACAAAGTTGCAGTCAGTTGTGGAAGATTCATTCGAATGCAAACTTTTCAGTCGAAATTCCTTGTTGTTAAAAGTCTGTTAAGGTGAAGCTTGCTTTACGGTCTGATTTTATTCTAAAGCCTTTTCTGTAGCATCGTCATTGATTGGTCGTCACTTAATCAGACAGTTGTTCGATCTGTGTTGATAGTTGAAAGATATATGAAACCACTCACACTGAAACGTTCCAGTGCTACTAGCATCTTTAAGCAGAAAGAAAGCAAACTTTTGATGACGAATCGTAGTTCGAATGAAAACTTCTGTAATAATAATTACTGTTCGTCATAATTATAGTCACATGTTATTCTTACATCTCATTATGTGATTGCACTCACCAATAGGGCTTTGACCTGTTCATACATGTAAGGGATCATTAATTCCTTTCTATTTCTGGAACTATATTTGAATCAGTAGTTAATTAACTAATTGATTACTACTGATTGAACTGATAATTGATTGATTGACTGTTCAATGGTTGTTCAAAATTCTTCAACGCAGTATTACTTCAGCAGTATTCTTTCCTATGGAAAACTGAAATGATACCGAAAAAAAAAAATGATTTCGATGACTTTAAACACGATGAATGAAATAAAGAATACTCAAAATACGCGAACAAAAAAATGAGCATAGCATATAGTGAGTTAAACCGTGTTCAATGCCAATAACAGTGTGAGTTAGACCATTTGCAGTGCCAATCTAACCTACGGCCTCGTCCATAACTTTGGTCGCAAAGGAAATCCAAACCAATCTTGCAGCAGACGCGTTCATTCATTTACCTATATGATAGAGTGTGATGTTAGAATATTATGAACGTTAGAAGAAAGAAAGTGTGGATGCATGTAAAACAAAGTAGTTCAGTGGGTGGAATGATGGCGATGATGGTCGCAAAGGAAGCTGTCCAAACGTTCGTCTCATACAAAGCGATGGCAGCCGATCAACGAGCGTTGGCGTCGATCGAAATCAAACTCTCTGATATACCCGAAGGCCAAGTGAGATTAATTAACTGATTGATTACTACTGATTGAACTGATAATTGATTGATTGACTGTTTGATGGTTGTTCAAAATTCTTCGACGCAGCACTACTTCAGCAGTATTCTTTCTTATGAAAAACTGAAATGATACCGAAAAAAAAAAAGATTTCGATGACGTTAAACACGATGAATGGAATAAAGAAGACTCAAAATACGTGAAAAAAAATGAGCAGAGCATATAGTGGTGACTGGAAGATGTTGCTACGTTACTGCTTCGAAAAATGTATTGTAAAATTTAGTCCCAGTATGAAAAAGGTCTTAAATGATGAAGAAATCATGGCGAAATAACTGAAATTTGTTACCGCAGCTATCAATCAGTCAGCCAGTCAATCCACTGACATGTCTTATTACTCTAACTAACACATCATGTCATTTATCTTCACTCACTATCGTCTTGAAATGTCAATTGTTGCGTTTTATTTGTGGGAGGGGGNGGGGGGGGGGGGGGGATGAGAGGGTCAATAAATTCAGAACAAATGTTGCTCAAATATTATAAATGTCAATAATAATAAACCAGTTAGTGGATCGATTCGAATGATTAGCAATGATGTCTGTGCTTCGGAGCCGAAAAAAAATTTTTAACTCTCTCAAGAAAGATATCGCAGCAGCGTTCACCAGCTGGAGCTAAGGCTTGCATGGTAGTTTTTCCGGAGCAAGAGTTTCAAAAATCTGAAGTGGAGGCTGTAGCTGAAAATTGAATTTAAAAAAAAAACGTGGGGACAGGTCTGGGGCAGAAATTTCGAAAACGCATAGCTGAAGCTAAGTGTTTTATTTAGATCAGGCATCACTGATCATCAGTTTCAAACAAGTCCAACCATCAACGGCAGCACTATGAAGAGCGCGACATGCAAATTAATATCAGATACTAATGAAGAAAAGTTCATATTGAATTAAGTGATGAATTGAACTTTTCATATTGTTATGTAATTGCAGACGAAAACATTTGAGTGGCGTGGTAAGCCAGTATTTGTAAAACATCGAACAGCTGAAGAGATTCAACGTGAGAAAAGTGTTGTATTGAGTGAGTTACGAGATCCGCAACACGACGATCAACGAGTGGTCAAAGACGAATGGTCGGTGGTGGTTGGTGTGTGCACACATTTGGGTTGTGTACCGATCGGTATCGTATCCGTTAATTTTCTTTCATTTTTCTTTTTTGATGATTAGTTGAGAGAATAACAATAATAAGTCATCGTTTTTCCTTGTATTCAAATATACTCGTATACACATTGATTGAATCAGTAAATACATATTCTGATGTGTTGAAGACAGTAGTAATCAGCATTATTTGTCACACAGTTACGCATTTTGAATAACGCCGAAACGTTGACAATTGCTCAGTGAAGTGAGAAAAATATTTTTGTGATTGCTCTTTGTTGTTTTCAACGAACAGTTCATCAAAATGTCATCTGGTTTTTATAATTCTTTTTCATTTGTTCAATCTCGTTTTCTTTGCTGTAATTTTCATTTCAATGGTGATTTTTTCGTTTTGACATAGTTTGAATTGTGTGTGTGTGCGACCAGCTCATTTAAAAATCAGCTTCTTTTCTCACCATTTTTCGAACTCATATCCAATCACAATTATTCAGTTTTTTTGTTTTTTCTTCTTAAAACTAATTCGCTGCTTTCATTAGACCAGTAGTTTTCAACCTTTTTTCTCTCCCGTACCCCTTAAAAATTTTAAGATGTCCTCGCACTCCTCACAACATCCGCTTTGCATCTCTCAACCACTACAGTGAGTGCCTGTAGTGTGGATAAGTGTGTACCATTAGAGTACGTTCTAGCATTTTCAAAAATATATTCATCAAAGTCCATTCTCGTCTACTTTACACATATTTATGCGTTGAAATCCGCTCTCGTCTAGTGTGGTGCGGGTATGAGGAATTTCGGGGACGCCGTCTCCGTCCTTGACTTTTTTGAGCCGACCGAATGCAAAATTCCCTCCCCGATTTTATCGTCTCCAATTTTTCTTCCGTGCCCGCACCGCACTACTCTCGCCTATTTTAACGTATAAAAAATGAAAGGTTATCTCGTACCCCCAAGGGGCACCAGCCTTCGTGCTTAAGAAACCATGTGTTGGACGATTTTATGTGTGTTTATAAGTATGCACCTAGTATCAGTAAGTTGATATTAGTCAACAATACTGATGTCAATAATATTAAAGTCTCATTTAGAATATTAGAAGTGATACCAATAATGATAATGGTAATCTCGTTAATAATGAAGAAAATGAATAATTTTTTTGAAAAATTTTTTTCAGCTGGCACCGGTGATTTTGGTGGGTATTATTGTCCGTGTCACGGGTCCCATTATGATGGTTCGGGTCGTATTCGTAAAGGACCGGCGCCGCTGAATCTCCAAGTTCCAGAATATCTTTTCAAAGAAGATAAAGTCGTCGTTGGAGTGTCTTAGTTTTTCTTTAGGCGTACTTTATATCGAGTAGTTTTCATTTTTGAACTCTTCTTCGACATCGTTGCTGTTTTGCTCCAGATATTATAGGGTTTATTAATAGTATGGATGTCGCTGTCATATTTGCCAGTGCTGCGAATATTTCGTTGACTGTTGATATGATTATTGCTTTTCTAATGATTATATACATATGTGCTATCATCGCTCACCTGTAAGACTGGCATAATGCTGCTTGCATTCATGCAGTGCTGGTTGTCGTTGGTAATATTGTAGTCGAAAGGGAATATCATAATAATAACGATAAGTACATAAATTTTTTGAGAGTTCATTGAAAGAGTTGTGATTTTAAGAAAATAATCATTATGATTATATGTCTATTTGGCTATCCATGTAGATGAATTGCTGTAGTTATCGATATTTTAAACAATCATTATTGCCCCAAAATAGCAGTCCAAACCGCGCATTATATCTGATAGTAATATTTTGTATTTAGCATATGTTGATTTGATATCTGATAGTAACGCAAATCAATTCACGAAGTTGTATTCATATAATGCTGAGTGACGATTAGTTGAATTGATGATGAATCAGCTAAGAATCTATCACTATTCGTTTTGCTCATGTCAAGATCTGCTGATATAGTGCAACTGTGTATACCTACTACCTCTACCTCATATCTGTCTAAATTAAGGTTGACATGGGCATTTCTCCTTCACCTTCGTCCACAGTGAGACCGCGTAGAATTGCTGGATAATGCTTGTCTGGCATCCGTCTCCGCGAGCTACTCGTTTCAACCTTAGTTTAACTGTCCAAAACTACCTCTGAATTATCAGATCGTTGTATTATCATCTTATTTTGAATGAACGATATCCTCATATATATGTGACTTGAATAAAGATATTTTCAGCGAATATTATCGCTATGCTCATTTACTGAATTCGTATGTTTAAAATGTGCTAAGCATATAATGCTCTATCGACAAGCCGATTCTGAAGTGAATATGAAAATATCATTGCGATTATTGCTGTTGCATGAATAGATGCTCAGGTTGAAGCCAAATCATAGCATGATGGCTCGAGCTTAGTAATACCAGTGACATCTGTATACTGTTCTGCTTAAGACTGAGTGAAATATCAGTGATATAATTGTTAGTATCACAAACATCTGTTATTGTTGTTGTCAATTGAACCGTTGTTGAGGTTTATGCCTTAATCTCAGTTTGGTTGTATCATTAAGAGTGAGTGAATGAATGAATCGAGTAACTTATCTACATTAAATGGTAGTGGTTATTCATCGAATAATGATGAATTAATGTTGAAAGATGGTGCGATATGAAATGTGATAGAAACTGAAGGACGAACGAAGATGATCAGACGCTTATAACTTCAGGTTAGGTGATTTAAAAGCACGTTTTCTTAAATAAAGAAGCTCAGGCTTGGCGTAGTATGACGAGATACAGGCTTTCTATTAGTAGGTATGGGCTGATGAGCCTAACTGGCTTTGTATGTGTTAGTTTTGATTGGATTGTGCCATTTATTGCTTGTGATTTGTTCACTAGTTAATGGCACTTGCTGTTCAATTAACTGTTTGTTATTATAGTGGTGGAATTTTAGGCAGGCGGCTGGTTTAAACTGCAGCACGCAAAGCTCAAAAGTAATGAAAAGAGATTGCAGTACGATTTTCTAGTTGCATAGATGTGTGGATAGACGAAGACGGATGATATGTGAGATGTGCAGGCAATAAATATATCATGGTAATATAATAATAGCAGATGTGATGATTGCATTGATGTGGTGCTCTATCATTTCATTATTACACTAAAATGAAGAAGAAGAAGCAGATATCACTTAGCAGTATATGATACGTTATCTTTGATATCTCGACCTCTTGTTAGTATGGTGTGGTCTTCTTTCTTAAAGTAGTGGATTAACTATGTAGTTTAGTTTATTCAAATCATAACGTGGATGTGATGGATTAATGAAGTACACTGAGCCTATTCATCCATTCGCGTGTGATTGTGAACCGCCGAATTGTAGGTATTGGCTGGGAACTATGTGTTGAGGTTTCATATGGTGGTGTTGCGCTAAGTGATAAATTTAAATTCAGTTCGAAGAAGTGATTTTGATGAATGTGGTTATTGATTCTGGTGGTCTAATAGTTATCGAATGGTGATGCAACAAAGGAATTGGAAACAAACGAACGAAATCGATCGATCGCGGAATATTCACTGTTTTTCGTTTATGTCACTATTCAACGACTAAATACCGATGTTGTGCTCGTCGTTAAACGCCAGATCGGGACGCTTACTGAGCAAGCAATTACAGAACAATGGACAATTATAATTTGTCGACGAATGAAATTGGCTCATTTATCTCCTCATATTTATTCGTCAAGAGAAAATCAAATTGATTGATTGTGGATAGAGAATATTTGTTAGAAGCGATAAGATCACATTGATCAAAGGAACCACAAACAAAATGGTACATTTTGAACAGATGTTTTTATTTTGTTGCTTCATTTATTTAGTTCTTTTTATTGATTTGTTGTTATTTGTTTTGTTCATTTGCTTTAGTTTCGTTGATTTTTGAGAGATTCGTATTTTCAAATACACATCCATTCAGCTCTCCACCATCGCAAGTGTTATTTTGTATTACTGATTGAGTCAGTTGGTTCATTTATTTACTTTTCAATTTTTTGCCCTTTCGAATAGAAGCGCAAATTAACAGTAGTGATAACGTTTGCGAAATAATCATAAGGATAATTACTAGTAGTAGCATTCTTATTGTAATTTTCATCATCATCAAAACGATTAAATTTATATATATATA